GCATTGATGGAGTACAGCTTTTGAGACGTCTCAAAAGACATGTGCATCGGAAGCATTGATGGAGTACAGCTTTTGAGACGTCTCAAAAGACATGTGCGTCGGAAGCATTGATGGAGTACAGCTTTTGAGACGTCTCAAAAGACATGTGCATCGGAAGCATTGATGGAGTACAGCTTTTGAGACGTCTCAAAAGACATGTGCGTCGGAAGCATTGATGGAGTACAGCTTTTGAGACGTCTCAAAAGACATGTGCGTCGGAAGCATTGATGGAGTACAGCTTTTGAGACATCTCAAAACACATGTGCGTCGGAAGCATTGATGGAGTACAGCTTTTGAGACGTCTCAAAAGACATGTGCGTCAGAAGCATTGATGGAGTACAGCTTTTGAGACGTCTCAAAAGACATGTGCGTCGGAAGCATTGATAGAGTACAGCTTTTGAGACGTCTCAAAAGACATGTGCGTCAGAAGCATTGATGGAGTACAGCTTTTGAGACGTCTCAAAAGACATGTGCGTCGGAAGCATTGATGGAGTACAGCTTTTGAGACGTCTCAAAAGACATGTGCGTCGGAAGCATTGATGGAGTACAGCTTTTGAGACGTCTCAAAAGACATGTGCGTCAGAAGCATTGATGGAGTACAGCTTTTGAGACGTCTCAAAAGACATGTGCGTCGGAAGCATTGATGAAGTACAGCTCTCACCTGGTGCTCCACAATCTTCACTTTGATTGTGGAGAGAAAAAAACGCTATTCACCTTATTTGGGTCCCTCCCCGCCAACATAACAGCCTGCTGCCCAAGGTCTTGAGACATGTGTACATCAAACACTCCAGTCCAGATGGACTACAGCTCTCACCTGGTGCTCAACAATATTCACTTCACAGGCATGAGAGGATCCAAGCAAGCACTATCAACACCAAGGAGAAAATCGTTATTCACCTCTCATGTGTCCCTCCCAGCCACCACCGATGTCTCCTTTCCATGGATCCAAGCAAGCACTATCCATACCAAGTATTATCCTATCCTGTATTATCATACGCTGTAAACCAAGCACTCCATATCGAGTACAACCCTCACCTGGTGGTCCACGATCTTAATGGGCACGAGTAAAAAGTCGTTATCCACCTCCTTTGTGTCCCTCCCAGCCACCACCACTGCCTGCTGTCCAGGGGCGCATGTGTGTCTCAATCACTCTATATCGAGTACAACCCTCACCTGGTGGTCCACAATCTTGATCGGCATGAGGAAGAAGTCATTATCCACCTCCTTTGTGTCCCTCCCAGCCACCACCACTTGTTTCTTCATTCTAGAGACTTTCGGATCAACCTCCTTCTCCTCCTCCTCCTTCTCCCCCTTCCCCCCACTCTTCCCCTTCTCCTTCTCCCCAACCTTCCCCTTCCCCTTATCCATTCCCCCGCCTTCTCCCCCCTCTCCCTCCCCTCTCCCATCCCCCGCAAACCACCCTTCCCGGTACAGCTTCAGGCACTGATCGCTTAGTTGAAAGGCTTCAAAATGCACGTCTCCGCCCCCATCCCCCTCCTCGTCCACTAAAAGTTTCACCAGCACTACCGCAAAGTACTTAAACGGCTCCCCTCCCTCCTCTCCTTTCGTCTCTCCTCCTTCCCCTCCTGCCGCCCCGTCCCCGTTCCCCCTCCCGCCTGCCTGCGCACCTGCATCCCCTGTCCCCCCAGCACTCTCCTCCCCCTCCCCGGCCCCCTTTTCCCCGCTGCTCTCCCTAGCAGTAGCACAGTGAAGCCGAGCCGAAAGGAGGAGGTCGGAAGCAGAGAGAGTAAAGGAGTGCTCCTGTGCTTGTTGATCCTCTGCGAGGGTTTGAGTCACAATGAAGCCCACACAGCGCATGCCCAGCCCCGCTGCTATCGCAGCTACCGCCTTCTCTTCAGCTGTTAGGGAGGGCATGGGAGGGGTGAGAGAGTAAAGGCGTGCTCCTGTGCTTGTTGATCCTCTGCGAGGGTTTGAGTCACAATGAAGCCCACACAGCGCATGCCCAGCCCTGCTGCTATCGCTGCCACCGCCCTCTCCTCCGCTGCTTGGGGGAGGGGGAGGGGGGGCGGAGCGAGTGAGTGAGGGAGTGAGGGAGAGAGAGAGGGAGCGAGAGAGGGAGGGAGGGCATGGGACGGCGAGATTTGCAGTATGTGTTGTGAGCCTTGCTGCGGAGGCGATTTTTGAGTCGACTCAATTTTTGAGTCGATTTTTGAGTCGACTCAATTTTTGAGTCGATTTTTGAGTCGACTCAATTTTTGAGTCGATTTTTGAGTCGACTCAAAAATCGACTCAGTATGTGTTGTGAGCCTTGCTGCGGAGGCTCGTATATGAAATCCACCAGCACGTGCCCATCCATCCTCCCTTCCATTAGAGGTGAGGTACACGCACAAGCCGACACGCACAAGCCCACCATGTGAGCATGCCTGTTTCCACCTTCATTGTGATGTCAACGTCCTTGAGTGAAAGCCTATTCACACATGCCCGTTTCCACCTTCATTAGGGAAGATCTGCAAAGCGTGCTCTGTGCCGTGCTGAGGCGGCTCACAAATGAAATTCACCAGTACGTGCCCATGATCCCTTGAATGTGCACGTATGTGAGAATGCCCGTTTCCACCTTCATTGGAATCTCAACGTCGCTGAATGACAGCCTATTCACACATGCCTAATCCCACCTTCACATGCCCGTTTCCACCTTCATTAGAGAGGATCTGCAGGGTGTGCTCTGTGCCGTGCTGAGGCGGCTCGTAGATGAAATCCACCAGCACGTGCCCATCCTCCCATTCAGGTGAACCAATGTGTAAGTGTACCTAGGCCTATGTGCATTCGTGGTTAGCCCACCTTCGTTGTGGAAGACCTGAAGCGTGTGCTCTGTGCCGTGCTGAGGGGGCTCGTATATGAAATCCACCAGCACGTGCCCATCCTCCCGCACCTCCCCGAACAGGAATCCGCCCCGCTTGATGGAGAATGCCAGGCTGTCATGCACATAGTGCTGGCAGCGTGATTACAGGGAGGGAGGAAGGGAGGAGGTGCGAGAGGGAGTGCGACCTCGTTATACAGCACCTCGGTAAGGAGGATTCCCAGCAATCCTGCTTCACAGCAATCCTGATTCCTACGAGAATACTTTCTGTAACAGTAACCTCACCTGAAATACGTTCGCAGCGTCGCGATCGAACGACACCTGCTGGCAGTGCGACGTCTCCTGTCGCTCGATTCGCATCTGTCGCGCGACCATGTCGCTCACGGTCATGTGTCGCCCGAACGACCCTGCGGGAACGACAGGCACGGGAGGCCCTGCGACGGTTCGCGACGCACTGTATTTCGCGAACACTATGCTCCCATGGCCTATAGCTAGGGAATCTAGCGACGCGGAAGGATCCGCTAAGTCTTTAAACTTCTCCGGGTCGGCTGATAGGAGAAGGGATTGGTCTGTAGAGAGAATCAGATCGGCCAATGGGATCGCGAGCTGCTGCGAGATTTGCGCGCGGAGGCCGGAAACGGTGGCCTCTGATTCGTCCAGCTGGACTCGCTCCAGGCCGTCGCGGCTCCGTACGCGTAAGGTGATTCGTTTTCCCGCCATAACGGAGATCAAGAAAACGGCACGACTAAAAGATACCGAGGTAGACCTAGCAGGAAAAGTGTTTACGAGGTAAGGCAAGCAGGAGGTTCTGAAATGAGCAGACCAACCAGCCAACTCCAAAACTGGCTTGCTTTCACGGTGAATACGAGGACGGGAGTCGAAGAAACGCGAGAAAGGGTGGCAGGAAAATTGAATTCGGGCGAATGAAACACAAACAGAGAGGCTGTCGCATCTGGTGAGAGACGAGACACACCCGAAAAGGCGGAATCTGCGGTCCGCGGAATGTGGAAACTAGTAGGCTTCTGAAATCAGAGCCATGTGAAGCAAGTGTGATGATGTTTTACACGCGGAATGGATTCCGCATGGGAAAGTATATCCCAGCTCCTGACTTTCAGATTTCTCTCATATTTAGCCCTAGGTTTACTAAAAAAGCACCACTTTCTGGAATTGAGGTTACTATCAGGGCCTCAGATTCGTTTTTAGCTTGGCTGATACGTCAGCCTTAGCAGCCTACGTTATGCTGATCAATCAGACTTGGTTATATAAAAAAACTGATATTTCAGACAAGTAAAAAAAAAAAACGCTGAGTAATCAGCGTCACTTAAAACACGCAGGCTGAACTATGTAGAGCACTTTGCTCATTAACTTTAGCAGGCCTAACAGGGAAACACAACACTACACTACACATGACATTAGCTAGCTGCTCATTTCATCTTCATCATTAGAACTACCTCCTGCATCTCCTACTGTCTCCTCATCATCTACATCTACTGGCTCCTCGTCAGGGGTTTTTTTATCAGTGTAATTTACTCTGTTTCTCTGAAAATCAGAGTGGTTTTTAGGGGGGCACTCTGTACCTGCTGGGTTTTTTTTTTTAGAGTTACTTGTTCTCTGATCAGCCAGGGTTTTTGTGTAAGTTCACTCTGGAGCGCCAGTGTTCCTTTCTCGAATAGTGAGTTTACTCTGAACGGGGGATACATTTACCCCCCCGACCCCCCTAGGTCCCCCTTATCCCCACGATGCCGGTTTGGACCGGAGCGCAGGGGATATCAGTGTTGTTTCGCCCGTGTGTTGGCACAACCTGAGGCGCCGATTGGCCGGAATGGCATATTTCGTGCCAGCGCACTCAACTGGCCACCCAGTGGATACATCGCTGGCTTTGCGTACCCCATCAGCAATGAACAACTCCAACTTTCGGGCATGATACGGCAGCTTCCTGTGGTGCACTGAATTCGTGCGCGGCGCGCACATCCACACCTGTTGCTCGGCAGGCATACGGGGTCACCACCAAACCCCATCCTGTCTGAGCCATTATGTTTCTTCCACCCAGCACTGCTCTTCAACGTTCCAGTCTAGCGAGTGTTCCGAGGGCTTCTCCAGCCACAGCCCCGCCTCCCTAACCTTTTTTTTTGCCGTCAATATCATGGATACTAGCGACGCCGAGGGAGACGCGGCTGATCCCGACGACAGGCCGACATGTATCACACCCCCTGCGACAGGGCTTCAGTTTCTCCGCGCTGTGCATGCAGATAACGCTCGCGATGAGGAGGAGCTGGGCGATGGCGGTACCGAATGGATGCGCCGTCCTGGCAAGGAAAGTGGCGGCATGGAAGATGCGTACGACGATTGGTGTCCTTCTCCGCGCCCGATGAATGACGCTGCTGAGTCCGACGGTGTTGAGGAGTGGATCGCCTCGCCGCGAAACGAGGTTGCTGCAGAGCCGGCTGAAACGGTTGCAACGCAGGTCGTCGATGCGGCCACTCCTGAGTCATCCGGTTCAGTCGCTGTGAAGAAGCGACGGTACACGCAGCAGGTTTTGCAGTGGGGAACACCGCCTCCGAAGCCCGTCGCTCCACCTCCCCGTGCTGCCCCACCCCCCATTCGTCCCCTTACAGACGAGGAGAAGAAGGAGAAGGCGTACCTGAAGGCGCAGAAGAGCTACAAGTCTGATTGGCTGCCGAAGTTTGACTGGCTGATTCTGGACAAGACGCCAGAGGGTGACCCGTGCCTGCGCTGCAGTGTCTGTATGGAGCACGGGAAGGACAACGCGCGTTACGGTCGCAATGGCGCTGGCGGTCGTGATCTGCAGATCGGGTCGATGCGGTGGCACGAGAACAGCGCGAAGCACGAGGACGCCATGAACAAGCAGGCAAACCTTCTGCAGAAGATCGTGGACCAGAAGAAGATTGAAGACTTCGCGAATGGAGATCCGGAAGGCTGTCGCGTCGCGGTACTCATGCGCGCCATGCGTTTTGTGTGCCGTACCGACACACCCATCCACATGTACCCACAGGTCGTGCAGCTTCTCGCAGAGGAGGGGGTCGCCAACATTCCGCAACAAAGCTATGGAGTGTACATCACGCAGTGAGTTGCTGTTGACTGGTTTGTATTCGAAGCAACCGTCTTTGTTTAACGAGGCTAATGCGTTGTGCTATGTGAATGCGCAGGTACGGTTTCTCCGAGATGGCCAAGGCTCTCACCGCGTATCTGACCAGGGAGCAATTGCGCGTCCTCCACGCCTCGCCCTTCATCGGCCTCATGTGCGACGAGAGTACCGATCGCGCCCGTGGCAAACACATGATTGTGTTTGTCACGTTCCTCAAGAACAGCGTGGTTGTAACCGAGTTCCTCGCGTTACTAACCGTGCAGCAATGTGATGCGGCATCGCTCATGGGCGCACTGCTCCAGCATCTCGAGACAGTGGGCGTCGACGTGAAGAAGATATCCGGAATGTCCACGGACGGCGCGGCAGTGATGATCGGGGGCATGTCCGGCGTTGTCACGCGACTGCGCGTCCACGTCCCCCACCTGGTCGGCTGCCACTGCATTGCGCATCGGTACTTGTGTCGTGGCTGATAATTTTAAATGACCGGTTTTACGTTAGTCGATCTTTAAAGTAATGTAACAATCCTTTTCTGCTCACCCCACTATTGCTTGCAGCGAAGCACTTGCTGTGAAGGAGACGGCCGAAGCCGAGCAGTTCCAAGATTTCCGGATGGTAGACAAGGCCATCCGTGCAGTGGGCGAGATCGTGGGGAGATCCACGCCGTGGTACGAGCGGTTCAAAGAGCTCCAGATCGTGATCCACAGCACCAACCTCGAGCACCAGGGACTGTTCGACGTGCGCTGGCTCTCCCGTGCCGATGCGGTCAACCGGCTTGTCAAGATTTTGGGGTCGGCAATCGTGCTCTTTCTGGAGTACAAGCACAAGATCGCCTCGGTTGTGAAGACCCTGAAATTCCACTTCTGTCTGTATTTCCTGGCAGACATTTTGGGGGAATTGAACTCCCTGAACCGTTTCTTCCAACGACGCAAGGTAAAACGTGCCCTAAAGGATTGTTGATACACGCGTTTAGTCTTGTTTAATTTTCATTTGCCCACACAGACTAACAAACCTTTTTGCGCACATGTCGGTGCGTCAGGTGGAGGTGACGCAAGTCACAGAGGAGGTCGACCGTGTGGTGTCCCTCATCGAGCACCGCTACATCGACTACGATGGTGGTTTCGGGGCGGGTTTGAGCCCCATCCTGTCTCCATTCATGGCACGTGTCAAGAAAGGGGACAAGAAGGTGAAGGTGGACGGCGTGGACGCTAGCGGCATACCCGTCAAGCACACCTTCGAGCTCAGCGAGCTGCAGGACAAGAAGCACAAGTTCGGCGGGACGCTTGCAGATTGCGTGAAGTTGGGCAAGGCCTTCGCCCGCGAGGTCGTGTACAACCTGAAGCACCGCATGCGAGACCTTCGTCGAATGGGCGGCTTGAAGCTTTTCAGGGTGGACAAGTGGCCAGCGAATCCGGACACGCGTGTGAGACGTTGTGCCACGTGGCTCCGCGAGAACTCTAAACTCTTCGACCACCAGCTGCCAGGTATGTGTATATCTTTTCGATCGTGTATGTGTGCTTTCCCTGTAATAATGCCTCTCGTCAATGTGTACCTAACATTTCCGTACATAAAAAACGCTGTGCTGCGCGTACTGTTTTGGCAGGATTCGAACTGCGGGCAGCCGAACTTGAGCTGAAAACTTTCTGCCACGTCATGAGGACGCACCACGAGGACGAGGACTTCTACCAGGCGCTGACGAACATGCTGAGGTCACGCGACTGGCGGCGAACTTACCCCAACATCATGACCCTGTGGCAGGCGTTGGCCATCCTGCCACTCAGCACCGTCGAATGTGAGCGTGGATTTTCACGGCAGAACATCATCAAGAGCTGGCAGCGCACGGCTCTCAACGACACGCGGCTCACCGAACTCATGAGCATCCACATGCTCGATTACAACGTGGAGTGGCCAGATGTCGTGGACATCTGGCGCAAGCAGAAGAAGAGGCGGCCTACAAAATCCCCTGCACCCTTCCAACCAGCCAATGACAAGGGCGGGCCAGAGGCCAGTTCGGACGACGAACGGGAGGATGACGTGGCTTACGATGAGTGAGCTTGTGGTAGTAGGTCATTGTGTACAAAGTTTAAAAAATTCAATAATTCTGGCAATGCAACAGCAATAGCAAACAATGGGTAACCATCAGGGTTACAGATGAAAGTTACTCTGAGGTAACTGAGAAGAAACGAGGGAATGATCAAGTTTAACTAGGGCCTAGGCTTAGGAGCCTAGGCCCAACTAGGATGTCGAGTAGTTTGTGCCTAGGGTGAGAGTCGAGAAAGTTGGAAAGGATGGTTTCACTATAGGTTTCGAAGAACATATAGCAAAGGAAACAAATAAGGTGCACCACCAAACAAAGTTTATAATAACTACACTAACTACAGCTACAGGCAGTTACAAATATAAGTTCTGACACTCCCCCATAACTGCCTGCATCAGGAGTTTGTGCAGAATACAACCTGCAGGGGTACACATGCAAAATAATAAACAAGCAACAGCAGGTACTGCAGGCGGGCTAACACTAGCTGGTCACCCCCTCCATCTCCTCACCCTCCTCCTTCCCTTCCCCCACACTGCTGCAGGAGCAGCAGAGAGGGGGGGGAAGAGAGGAGAGGTGGAGGGACGGCTGCTGGTTGCCTCACACCCGCCACCCCGGTGCCACTCCCCCGTCTCCCCCACACCCTCACACCCTCCCCCCCAGCGGCAGCTGCAGCAGTGGGAACGAAAGGAGGAGGAGGGGAAGGGAAGGATACGACCCAACGCTCCAACACCCGCCACCCCCATACCCTCCCCCCCACGGCTGCAGGGAGACAAAGGAGGAGGGGGTGGGCGGGAAGAAAGCCGCAGAGCGACTACAATGTGTCGGCGCAGGTAGGTCAGGGGCGGCTGCAGTGAGAGCAGGTGCGGAGAGGCGCGTCGCGTGCCACGGGGCGCACGACAGGTAAGTTTAAGGTAAGGGCACCGTCGTGTGCCTCGGGGCGCAAGACGAGCAGGGCACCGTCGCGTGCCACGGGGCGCACGACGGGCAGGTTTAGGGCACCGTCGCGTGCCACGGGGCGCGCGACGGGCAGAGTAGGAGTCACTCGCCAACCGGGGGCGGGACAATAGAAAATCGCCACGCGCCCTAGGCGCGCGACCGGAAAAACGTAGCAGCGGAAGCATGAGGCGGGCCCACAGGCCAGGACGTAACTCGCTCTGATAGCATGAGAAGAAACGAGGGAATGATCAAGTTTAACTAGGGCCTAGGCTTAGGAGCCTAGGCCCAACTAGGATGTCGAGTAGTTTGTGCCTAGGGTGAGAGTCGAGAAAGTTGGAAAGGATGGTTTCACTATAGGTTTCGAAGAACATATAGCAAAGGAAACAAATAAGGTGCACCACCAAACAAAGTTTATAATAACTACACTAACTACAGCTACAGGCAGTTACAAATATAAGTTCTGACAGTAACAGGGTTTTTAAAATGACAGCAAGTGTTACACTGACATCTAAGAGCAACGCTCGCCAGCCACTCTGGATTTAAGGGTTAGGCCAAAAACGCCTCTGGAAACAAGAGTGCTCCAAAACCAAAAAAAAGCCCTGCTCCTCGTGCTTGCCCTTCTTGTTCTCGCCTGGGGTTGGGGTGCAAATGGGAGCATTGCTGAAAGGCTTGCGCTTTCTGTAACTCCGCCAGATCTCAACTACCTCATTGTAGTTGGGCTCGTACTGCATGAGGGACAGACACATGAGGTCCCCCAGCCTCGCGTCCTTGATCCCCCCTCTCCGCCATGTCTTAATCACGTTTTGCCGGGTGAATCCCCTTTCGCACTCCACAGTGCTGAGGGGAATCACAGCCACCGCCACCCAGAGGTGCACCAGATTGGGGTAGCTCTCCCGCCAGTCTGGCGTCTTGAGGATCGCCGATAGTCCGCTGTGGAAGCTCCTCTCTTCCTTGGTGGCACGTGCAAGGACTGAACAAAAGAGGCGAAGCTCCTTGCCTGCCTGCCTCTTGTTGATGCCTGGTGGAAGGGAGGGAGGGAGGGTTAAGATGAGGCACATGAGCAAACAGGTGCACCACAAAGGATTTTCAAGCATAGATAAGATATCATAGGTTCACAAATCTGCCACAACGAACCTGGCAAGATTTCCTCACGGTCCTGAGCCTTGAACATCGTCACCAGCGACTGAAGCCACTCCTGGCAACGAGCGTTCCGCTCAGACTTGCTTTGTGGCCATGCATCAGGTGTGAACAGGCGGACTCCAGAAAGCGAGTCGAGATCGCCGAGCCTTCCCTCCAGGTTCGCCACGATCCTCTCTGCGAACTCGGTGCACAACTTGATGCAGCCGTCGTGGTCCTCCGGGCCGCTGTACGAGTCCACGGGCTCGTCGTGAAGGGTGAACGTGATAGAAGATGGTCGGCCGTCGCTGTCGACACCTTCCACCTTCACTTCGCGGCTACACCCCGGGCCATGACGCTCCAGGAAAGGTGACAGCCACTGGCTCATGCCGCCGCCGAAGTCATCGCCGCAGTCCACGTAGCGGCTCTCGATGTGATGCGTTGTCCGCTTGATCTGCGCATGCAAAGACACCAGATCGAGCTGGACAGACAGAGGCACACAGTGACATAGTTAGAATGGTAAATATGGGGACATGCGTAGCTATATTCGCACCACCTCACCTGTTTCTGCTGGAAGGTCTTGTTCAAAATGTTGAGCTGCTCAAGCACATCAGCCAGGAAGTAAAGGAAGAAGTGAAAACGGTAGGAGCTTGCCAGCTTGTACATCTTGCTGTTAAGCTCCTTCAGCAGCACAATCACTGCCGGCAAAACAGCGACAAGGCGATGGACGGCATCCCCCCTTGACAGCCACCGAACGGAATGGATGCCTTGCACTTCAAGGCTCGTTTCGGTGATGACCTCCTGCAGGTCCATGAACCGTGCGTGGCGCGGTCCCGACCGACCAAGCAAATCGGCCACAGTCCGGATGAGATCGTCGACCATGTCGAAGACGGGGAGCTCCTCTGCTGCATCCTTCGCTGCAAGTGCCTCCCTGCAAGTGGAACACATCAAACTCAGGAAATTAAACACAAGCTCGAACCAGATGGCGTAACGGGCTGAAAACGTAACAGCGGAGCTCACTAACCTGTGAGCGATGCAGTGAACGGAGACAAGGTGCGGGATTTTCTGTCGCAGGCGGACAACCAGGCCGGCCTTAGACCCCATCATCACTCTTGCGCCGTCGGTGCTAATGCCGGAAATTCTCTGCAGATCGACACCGACGGACTGCAAGTGGGAAAGCAGGATGCTAAGAAGAGAAGATGCGTCCGCCTTTTCCACCGTGATCAGCTGCATGAACTCGGTCACGAGCACGTTGTCGCGGATGAACGATGCGTACAAGATCATGTGCTTCCCCCTGAGCCGATCCGTGCTTTCATCGATGCAGATGCCGATGAAAGGGCTTGTCAGGATGTGCTCCAGCTGAGTTGTCTGTAGCCAGGTAGCAAGGGCCTGCGTGAGCTCACTGAAGCCGTACCTGCACGCAGGGAAACCAAAGACAAGAGATGAGAAGAGGGTTTAGGGTTGAACATCTAAACACCAACGCAATACAAATGTGACTACTACTCACGATGTGTAGTAGGTGCCATATCCCTTCTTAGGGAAGCCCTGGACACCCTTGCGCGCGAGGTACTGCACCAGCTTCACCCATGTTCCCATGGGCGCATCGCAGGAACTGACGAACAGCATGGAGTCGAGCAACGCCACGACGCGGTTCTTCTCAGCATCGACGGCGGCTCGATGTTGGTCGATCCGTGGCTGCTTTGAGGCCGCGTTCAGCAGAGCCTCTTGCTTCTCCATCGCCAGCCTGTGTTTCGTCGTGCCGGCGTGCTTGCGAAACGCCTGCGTCTGCACGTCGGTCGCCCCTCGCCCTGTCCGGCCACATCGTCCCCTGACTCCGGCATGCTTGGTGCAGTCACTGCACTTAAAAGCAGGGAAACCAGATTTAGATTTGGTTAGCACAAGCCACGAGAACCTCTCAGACCACTTGGTCTTGTACTTAAAAAGAGCGTCTGCATATACTGCTTCAATGGCCTCCGAAATGTCTATGACCAAGGATGGAAGAGGGGATGTGTTGTTCACGACATGTTGCTCGACGGCGGTGCTCGAAGATGGTTTTGCCCAGCTCAGCGTCGACTGCTTCAGCTTAAAGTTGCGCGGGGCAGTGGACTTTGTTGTTGGCGACTCGACAACCACCGTGTCGGAGACGGCAGCCGGCGCAGCAGGCTCACTCCGGATGGAATCCGGGCTTGAAGAAACCGGTGGGTGGTCGCGGTGCACCCTCTCGTCTAGTGCAGGCTTTGCAGTAGGAGGCCTGGGAGCGAGGACACCAGTGGCAAGCGAGCGCAGGAGCATATCAAGCCCCGCCCTGGCTTCCTCTAGGCCGTCTAATTCATCATCGCTGCTATCCATGCCTGCATCGTCATCACAAGCTACGCCTTCTGCAAGGCCGGCCATGGCTGAAAGGGGAGAGCGTGCCTAGATCCAACGTTGCTAGCAAGGGTTTGAGAAAACCAGGGCGAGAGGCGGGGATTGACATTGCAGCTCGCCTGGTGGGTGGGTACGGTGGGGTCATCAAGAGAGAGCCATAACAGAAGGCCCTATCATTCTCACCACCCAACTACAACGCGGCGCGACGTGGGGGCACCATGCACGCACTTAGATGCAGGTTCGGGGTGGGTGAGATGGGGTGAGGTGGGTGTCCTTGTCGTGAGTGCATGCGGTACGTTGCTGTGCTGCACTGGTGGTGAGTGATTGGCGCATAAGGGAAGTGATTGGTTTAACAACCAATCACATCTATTTAAGCATTCTGACGGTGACAACGAAGCAACCGACGCGTCGGGGAAAATCGTTTTCCCCCCGCGTCGGCGCGGTACATGGCAATTTTTGCGTGATTGCTGGTGGATGTACCTGGACAGCCGAAACTCACGGCTCCGGCACGAATCTGTAATAGCGTGACTTCAGCCTACACTCTCGTTACAAGTCTGATCAATCAGCGAACACTTGTAAAAAAACGCTGGAAAAT